TGTTTTTTAAGACCGTGAGTGAAAGACATACCGTCAATTTCTAAATTAATAATTATAAATATTTTTTGTCATTTTGTATTATTTATTATTTGTTTGATTGATATTTCATACATCTTATACATATCATTTATTATCGTTGCATTCATAAATCATACATTTGTTTTCTCATTTTCCAAAAACATTAAAGGCAATGTTGTCTTGCATCGTGGGTTAACGAAGTTATATCCAACATGACTGGATTTTAATTTCTGTTAATTCACGTATTAAGGGAACATCTATTTTAAATAAAATTGAGTGAATTAAGTTATTTTTATTGAGTCAAATATAAAAAAAGAGAAAAAAATAAATGCACTCATTTTAAATTTCATTGAAATAAAAGGATCGCAATTTAAATTTCGAATTCAAGTTTGTAAATTTTGAATTCAAAATTTTAAATTTCCGGTACTTAGATAACTTATAATCGAGAAATACCGATTTTGGGCGTTGTGGGGTGCTTACTCTTCCCCACGCGTAATCAACTCTCGAACACTTTAAAATGAATCTTTGGTAAACGTAAACCAATTTATGTCTTAAAAACTATTTTTCTTAAAATTGTTTTAAAATAAATTTTTTAGGTATTCGAGCTACCTAACCCAAAAGATCGACGATGACTCCAAATTTCAAATTAAACCAAAATCCAATTTTTTTTAAAACAAAGTGATAACTATTTTCAAATTTGATTTTAAATAAAAAATGGTTATCACATCATTAATTGCTTATTATTAATTTTTTAAAATAAATTCTTCACTATTTTTAAATTTGATTTTAAATGAAAAATAGTTATGACATCATTCATTACTTATTATTAATTTTTTTATCTGATATCGTTTAGAATAATGTTATTATTAAAAAAAAGTTTTTTTAACCCATTATCGTTCAGAATGGTATTTATCATAAAAAAACAAGTCAAAGAGTTTTAGTAAACATTATTTTTTATTGTTAGTCAATTATTAGGAATTGAAATAAAATAATATTTAATCTTTAAATTTTACAACAATTTTTTCTGACTTAATATTTGAAATATTTTAATATTATTAGTTTTGTGCAGTGTTGTCAATTCTCACAGATTGGTGGCTCAAACGCTACATTTTGGGCTTGTCACAGGAAAGTTCTCATCTTGCTATTTGTCTTTCCTTGACCCACTTTGATTCCTACTTGTACGGTACCTTATGTCATTGCTAATCCATCTTCTTTGCACGAGATTTTTACATCTCTTTTTCTCTTGCTTGTTACTTTATGAACCAGAGTTGAACTACTGAACTTAGAGCTAGCAGATTGATTTTAATCTTATGGTTTGCCGGAAAATCCATGTAATTTCTCCATTTCATGATTGGTTTGCAATATAACATTGGGTGTGGCGTGTACGTATCGTTGTCCAGGTCCATGGACACATAAGATGCAGGAATAGGATTGAAAATAATTTATTACACTGCACCTTGTTGATACGTAGTAGGTTCATGTGAGTGTCTCTTCTTTTTCTTCTTCCTTCCTTTTTCCCTTTCCATACAAACCTAGGCATTGCAGGCCCCATTACTCTTGTATCTTAGACTGTATTAAATGATATATGATTTGATACATAACAGCAATAATACAAATGATTCAAATTAAAGCTTCCAGCCAGTCTCCATGATTGCAAATGGGTTTCAGTCTTCTTCACTCCTTGGATTTTCAGTTGTTTTTACTGTGATTCGGCAGTCAGTGGATTAGCAGCAATCTGCACCACTGTTTTGTTACTGCTGGTGGATACTCTGCCTGCAACCTGCAACTAAACTTATCCCATTCCCACCAAAATCAAACAACATAATTGTGAAATATCTCCACACATCCTACACCATCCAACAGCATATTCCCGTAGGCTGCTATTTCGTTTACATTTTGGCCTACAAATTCAAGCTTCTGTTTTCTTATAATATCTCCCTGCTTGTTGTTTACAGCAACAGTTGCGAAAGCAAGCAGCAGTAGTAGTTGAAGTGAGGACAAAGGGCTACTATTAGGCAACAGGGCAGGGATACTTATAGACTACACTTTAATCAGGGCATCAACCCATGTGGTCTGCAATTTTTTTCTTTCCCATGGGATGAGCTATCATTAAATAGCCTTCAGAATTTGTGAATTCTTTTAGCATTTAGGGTAAGAAATCTGTGCCCTCTTCTCACCCTTTTTTTAAAATTCTGCCATTCTCGCTTCTCATTCTAACCTGGTATCATAATTCTAATATAAAGCGTAAAACAATCATAATCATAATCAGATGGAAAGTTTTCCTTTAGAGTTTCTTCCTTAATTTAACTACAATAAGAGACTCAAATCATATGTTTTATCAAACTGCAAACAGACATATCTTCTTCTGGTTGTTCGAACCAATGCATAAATAAAATCAGTTACATGTGTCTGTATGATAGCTGTTTAAAATTTTAATTACTTTTTGAATAAAATAAGTGGAATGACACAATAATACAATGAATTTGATTTTATTTCAGTCACTTCTTGTCGTCCGGATGAGACGTGAAGTATGGTGTCCGCTTGTAATTAGTGTTATGTCCCCTAAAAAGACATGTAAATGTGGCGTTTGGCAGTGCCAACGCTCAGATTTTGCTGTAATTTTCCTGAAAACCACAGAAAAAAGTGTACTTTGTGATCCGGTGTAGTTTTATAGAATAATTCAATAATTAACAACCTTCCATTCCCTGCATCCACTTTGTTAACCTACCGCTTCCGTCTACCGAAAGCTATCCAACTGTAAATTTATATATAGTGTGTTTTTACACGTCGATGAACATAAACTAAGCAAAATTATGAGAAAATTAAGATCCTCTCATTGTATGTAACAAACAGATTAGCAGTGGATCATCTGGTCCTCCATCATATAGCTTAGGTCATTACCTCACCTTTTGTTTTTCCCTGTTGAGTGACACTGACTTTTCTGAAGGAGCATTCCACTTTCCATGGAAATTAATTACTACTCCAACTACTACCATTACATCCCTTGGTTTTACAAGTTATCAAAGGCTGGTAATTTTGGAAAAAGTAAACATGATTTCTGACTGTTGACACAAATTTAAACACCCCACTGGTTGGACATGGAGAGTGAAAAATATGTAAACAGCAGAACATGCTGCGTACGGTATCTAAATTACCACTGTATATAATACTTCATTATTGAGCTTTTTTACTACTGTGTATATCTTAAGATAGAGGTTTGATTCAATAATTCGAAATAAATACAGATTTAAAAAGAAAAAGTGAGCAAAGGTTGAGTCAAATCAGCTTACAGAGAATGAAAGAAGATGTAACTTCAGTCAATTCACCCTGGAACATGATGACAGAGGGCAACTGTTTCTTGATTGTGAGACTTCACCATTATTTTTAAAGTTATATTCTATGGGACCCCTCCCATTCCCACACAATTCTGATCAGAAAGATTCATTTCTTTTATTAGTTCCTGCTTCTTGTAGTGAAATTGATGAGAGAGACGGTTGAGGCAAACCCACCCGTCATCTTCTTTTTGCCATCAGATTATTAACACCTTCCTTGAGAAACAAACAAGCTCCATCCTCGCAGACAAGACCTGATGGCTTCATTTAAACACCACCTTCTGGAGCTAAAGGTCGCTGTACTCAATGTCATGCTCATCTTTTACCTCACGTTTTCCCCTTCCAAATCAGGTAAAACAGACACAAACACCACTCGATCTCATCGTATATATATATATACACACTCACTGTAAGATTCTATTCTGTTTTGTTGTTAATTGGAGATCGTTTTGTTTTTTTGGCACAGTTGGGTCAGTATCTGTAGCAGGTAAGAATGATAACAGTAGTTGGAAGCAAGAGAAAATGGTTCTGGGTTCGAGGCCTCCCAAGTGTTTTAACAGGTGCCTCAGCTGCAGACCTTGCATGGCTGCTTTAGTTGCTTCTCCTAATCATAGAAATACTCGAAGCTCTTCGTATCAAGGTGATGAAAGCTACTATCTACTGGCCTGGAAATGCAAATGCGGAAATAAATTCTTTCAACCTTGAGCATATATATATATATATATATATATATATATAGCTTAAAACCCATTTAGCTTACAGTACAGACTTTGCAGTGTAGTTTGAATCTTTGTTTGCCCATTTAGAGATGATGTTGGTATCTGATATTTATATTTCACTTCTTCTAGTGTCATTTTAGCTTTATATTCTCTCTTTATTAATGGTTTTGCTGTATTTCTTTTGGTTTTAAACAGTGCATGCAATGATTATTTTGGGTGCATTTTTGTTTTACTATTTCGACTTAAACGCAAATCAATTTTCAAGATAAGAGAGGTGAGTTTCTTAATTAACATACTGTTTACGTTGTTGACATCCCCCCCCCCCAGTTTCTATTTTGGGTTTCAAATCAAAGTCGATTCTCCCAATAATTTTTCATCCATCGGGAATTGATCTTTTGTGACCAAAATAGAATGCTTCAATACACAATCAAATAGTGTAAAATCCTCTTCTATTAACGTTCGGTGATCCCAAAGAGTCGGGGGGAAAAAACTCAGCACTACTCTTTACGGTAGGATTCCACAAACTTTTCATTAAGATTCGTCTCTGAAAAAAATCTTATTATTTTTTTTATCATTTTAGTTCGTCATTACTGATAATCCTCATTGGTTTTTGTTAAAATTGATGACGTGTCAAATGTAATATTTTAATAAAATATGTTTTTACGAAAAATATAGGAACAAAAATCATAATTTAATGAAATTTAATTTTTAGAAAGAAAATAGGTATGGATACATTTTTTTCAAAATATAAATTGACAGATATCTTGATATATATACATTTTTATGATTTTATTGGTTAAAGAAGAATCGGTATATTTTGCAGTTCCAAGATCCTTTTTTTTTATGGAGTAGCTAGCAAATTAAGAAGGTAGTTCAGGTTTATTGGTTAACGAAAATTCCGATCTTGATCAGCGCGTTGAAGCTCTAAATTTAATCAAACTGAGATCCAATAACAGTAGTTGCGGTTGCGCAATTCTTGCAAGGATAACCCTACAAGACCTAGGACACTTGGAAAACATGGGGAAAAAACAAGCCAAAATGAAGGTTATGGCAGCCATAGCCAAAGCACAGCAATCTGAGGCACCTAAACATTTAACTTCTCAAAGCAGCCCCTCCATAGAGGTAAAATACAAAAGGAAACACTGAAAGACTCTTAAAAGAAAGATATTTAAGGACTGATTCGAACAACAGATTTAATAGACTGAAAAAGGAAAGAAAGCTAGAACAACAGTTCCAGCAAAACACAACTAAAATCTATGATTGGAAACTCAAAACCATGACTTGATGATGGATCTCCAGGAACCATGGCTGTGTACAACAGACTCTCCAGTGTCATGAATGCCTGCAAAAATTGAGATGGGTCGGCCATCTGCCAAACAGCCAAAAGTCCCCTGAAAAACACCAAGCCATAGAGCAACCAACATAGCTACTTGGTCGAACAGAAAATCCTGTGCTGAATGTTGCTACCTCTGTGAGCTGACTATATGAGTTTCATATTTCTACCGAATTTGACGGCGTAAGTATAGTTGTTTCAGATGACCCTCGATTAGAAAAGGATGTCACATCTCCACAAGCTCTCCACAAGCAACTCAATGGTTTGGGTGCTGATTGAATTACAGTGCTGGAGATTCAACCCTACCAGGGTCTTTCCCAATTTTTCTAGGAAGGTTAAACTTTTGTTTGATACCCCTGAACAACCAGAAAATGAAAGGACTTGCAGATTGAGTTGCTCAGCATGCGACAAGGCAGCAACGCCGACATCGGTGATTGCACACCTTGACACATCCAGGTCGTTAAGGAAAACACAATTGTCTGCAACTGCAACCAAACTTGCATCAGTAATCCTCCTGCAACCATCTAGATTAAGCAATTTGAGGGTTGCACCATGTAGCCTTATCAAGGACACAAGGATCTCATCAGTCAAATTTAAGCAGCCACTTAGATTCACCTTCACAAGTCCTGCCTCACAATTCTGTAGAAGAGGCAGAAGACCTGCATCTGTGATGCCGCATAGCCCGCTCAGATCCATATGTTGAAGCTGAGGGCACAATTTGCCTACCATAGCCAGGCTGACGGTTCCAAATCCAGGGCAGTTCCTTATTGACAAGAATTTAAGGGAATTGCATGGGGAGGACAAAGGAACTCCCAAGGATATATCCTTAATTCCCATGCATTTTACTAGGGTAAGAGATTTTAATCCACAGTTTGAGAGGACACCGATAATCCCGGATTGTGTGACCCTGTTGCACTCTTCCAACTGCAGGCACTCAAGAGAACCTGCAGACTTGGCAAAAACCACCAATCCATCACCAGAAACAAAGTAACACCTGCGGAGGCACATCTGCTTCAGGTTTTTGCACCCCTTTCCAATGGCTTCAAGACTAACATCGGTTACCCCCAAGCAAGAAGCAATAGTTAAAGAGATCAATCTTTGGAGACCCAGAGCATTACCCATCACCCAAAATCCCTTCTCGCTTACATTTTGTAGACCACCAAGCATTAGATTTGTCACAGACTTGCCATAGTGTCCCATCACAGCAAGAGAAAAATCTGTGATACTCAAACCCTGAAGCTTAACCTTTGAAAGAATGGAAGATGCTGATGATAACAGGCTTGAAACTCCATAATCACCAACAAGCGGGCAGTCCTTGATAGAGACAGACTGCAACTTGGGGCAGAGCTTTCCGATAGCTTGGAGGCCCTCATTACCAATCTTTGGGCAGGATTCGATGCTCAAAGCATTCAAATTAGGACAGTTCTCAGCGATGGCAATTAGCCCCTTGTTTGAAACCAAAGGGCACTGGAAAAGGTCAAGCTTCTCCAACAAATGGCATTCTTTAGCTATTTCAGACAGACCTTCATCTCCAACATGTGGGACGTTCCATAAAGAAAGTAGCTTGAGAGAGGGGCAACAACGGGATACGGCAAATAGCCCAAAATTAGCTACTCCACGTGAAGAGGTGCTTCCCCTAATAGAAAGCTTCCCCAAACCACCATGACCGCTTGTTCCAATGGCAACAGCAGCAAGCCTCATGTCAGTTGCTTTCTTCCCTTCCAAGCGCCTTGTAAGATAACCATACTCCTCCTCAGATGAGAACATCTCAATATCGTCAGAACTTGACTCAATATTCTCCTTGACCGTCTTTGATGACTCGTATTCGCCCTTTCTGATGCTGGTCAGAAGCATAAGCCAGTGCTTTGAGACACAAGCACAGGAGCTCCTTTCTCTGCCCCCATGAACACGCTTAAAGATCTCGACAAGGCATTCGTCAGGAAGAACATGGATTGATGGTTGCTTATTCTGCTCAACATCTGTTTCCCCAAAGATAAATTGGGCACTGATACGAGCTCTTTTACTGGGAGGGCAGTACACATCCACTTGGGAACTGATTGAGCATAATCTACCCAAGTCTGCGGAATTTGTATAAAAGGACCCTCCAGAATAGAAATCATCGTCACCTGAAATTCCAATAAACATATCATCATCACCTACTCGATACAATGAGAAAATCAGACATATTCCTACAACAATATTTCTTTTCCCCTTCCAAGAACAATCAAACAACATACAACCAAGATAATTATTTGGTAAAAGCTTCCAACTTTTGATGCAAATCCTCAATGATTCAAACCTTGTAATACCATATTCATTAACTAATGAATCCTAAATCCTTTGCCTTCATTTTCTAGTTCAAAACTAACACTAGCTAAAACCAAATAGTGCTTAATAAGATCAAGCATATAAAAACACCCAAATAAATATTATACACATCAAGATAGATTATTATTACAGTTTCAAATTATAAATAATCAATCTAAGAATTAAAAACATGTCTATAAACTCAATCCCAATCTTTACAAACAAAAAAGAAAAAAAGTTTACCACCGTAATTAACAAGAGCAGGCATGGTTGAATCCAAAAGCAGAAACCTTTCTGAAAATCCTCAGACCCGAAAATGCAACACCCAAAAAGCAAAAATACTAGGAAAACGCAGACCAAGTGTAACTCTTGAAACCTTGAATGCATCAGAATTTGTTCAGAAGGAAGAATACTGAAACCCCAGTAAGCAGGGGGAAAAGAAGAAGAGAAAAATGTGTTATACGCTGAAACAGAACACAAAGAGTTCTATTTATTTGATTGGGGAAAAGAGGAAAAAATGCCGAGTTGAGAATTTTCCATTTGATTAGTAATTTAAAATTCTTGTCTTTGGCTGCAGATACATTATCTGACAACTTGTGCACTGCACATGCAATGTATCTTTCCTTGGAACCTGTTTTCTCTCTTTCTTTAGTCCAACCAAGCTACCGGTTCCGGCTACTTGCCTTTGAAATTTGAACAGTGATTATGTAGTTGTTTTGGGATTTTACATGCTAAATTTTTTCTATTTTGTTAATTAAATATTACGTGGTTCATGACAGGCCTGATTTCAAAATTTCATTGATATTTAATCAAGATTGATTTTAAGCAGAGAAGATCATTAACTTGTTTTACTAGTTAAATTAGATGAAATATTTATTTTGTTTAGTGGAAAAAGACAATAATTTTATTTTCTTAGTTTGATGGGTAAAGACCAAGTTGGACAGTAAAACTCAAATTTTAGGATGAATGCTTGCATTATCTTTGTTTAATTTGGCAATGGTTTTTGTTCATCAACCACTTATGATTGAAATCCATGTCTCTTAAAAAAAACCATTTTCTTAGATGTTTAAATTTCATGTAATTATTTTTACAAACATTTAATTTGTATTAAGATATTATACAATAAAAATGATACTCTCTATGTTTTATTAAAAGTGTCTCTTTTGATTTTTAAAATTATTTAATTTAAAACATTTTATTAAAAAGTCAACGAACAAAAATACTTATATTTCTTTTTTACCCTTATATGTCTCACTTTTTTATATCTATCAAAATAAATCAATTAAATCTATCAATCACCTTTCAAGATAATTTTATTATTTCCTTAATCAAATATATCGCTTAAAACTATATACATAGTCAATATAAGATACATATTATGGAACATGAAAAGTAAATTTTAAATATAATTATAATATAAAGTGGTTGAACCTCAGTACCTTGCATTACTTTGATTGGGCAAAATAAATAAAAGCTCAAAACTAGGAAAATGGGGCCTAAATAGGCAAATGGGTCGGGTTAAAGACGAATGGAGAATTATGTGCAATGAATTTGATTAGCTCTTTCTTTTAAGGGGAGGGCTCATATTTTATGAATCCATCTTATGTAGGTCCAATAAATGACCGCAAACAAAGATAGTTTTTGACCGATTGATTTTTTTTTAAAGAGTTAAGAAATGGGTTAGAATCATTGAATTGAAGGTTTAGAAATAATCATTGAATTCTTATATATATTGGTTTCGCTTTTATTTTTTTATAAAAATTCTTGGATTATTGAAGGACTCTTATGCAATTATCTCAGGGTAAAACGAAATTACTGCAAATAAAATACGAAAAGCCTAACCTATAGGCGTCGTGCAAATCTTTGAGCGGTCCTTTCGTCACTAGAAATCATCTCTAATTGAAATGTATGGTGCATGAGTTTTATTTCAATAGAAATTTGTGGTCCCATATGAGTATAAAATTCAATGGTACCAACTTTACAAGATCATTTTTGCGTGACTTGATCAGATTTTAATAGCTCAATCACAAATGGATCTTAATTTAGATGAAGAAAAACACTATCATGATGTTGATATCCATAGGCATGAGGCGGTTCACATTTGTCCCTTTCTCACAATCACACATAGTTTATATATAATCTCAGTTTTAATCCATTTATTTAAAATGGACAAAAATCGTGTGTTTCAAATTTGACAAATCAACTTGATGTACATAGAGGTGCATTTTGTGGTGTATTTCGTTGTCTTTTCTCTCCTTTTTCCCATTTTGAAGTAATGAAATTATGCATTGAATAAAGTTGTTGGCATATGGGTTTATATCTTGGTGCCATACCTTGTTTGTGGGCTGAGAATTACAATGGAAAAATAAAATGATAATGTAATTCAGATAGAATGATGAGAACTTTATATATATAAAACGTTGAAACATTCGCATTTCCTTTGAATGCGTGATAGGAAATGTCTGCAATCTTTACAACCAGCCAATTATTACATTTAAAAAAAATTCATGTTGGATGGATATTTGTATAAAAGATACTTTGCGTAAAAATGTATATAACATGATCAGGTTGAACAAGCAAAACATACTTGTCATAACCATTTTTTTGGAAAAATAATTAAATATTATTTTAAAAAACGATTATAACTTTAATTTGAAAAATATTGATTTTGAATTAATTTTTAATTGGATCAGAGTCGCCATCGACTTTTGGGTTAGGTAGGTCGAATACCTAAAAATAATTTTCAGAAAAATCATTTTTTAGACAAAAAACCTAGTTTGCGTTATCAAAGATTCGTTTAATGGGTCCGGGAGTCGGTTACGTGTGAGGAAGGATAAACACCCCCAATGCCCAAAAATTGGTGTTGAATCGCTTACATGTTGTCGTAATGGTGGAAAGTATGAATCGAATATAAAGTTAAGTTATGATCACTTATTAAAATTTGATTAACTTGCTTTGAATTGATTAGTTAAAAGAAAATCATTTTACTCGATAAGAAATCTTGAAATTCACAATCCTCCGTCGGGAAAGCTATCTCCATCATTTCTCATTCGTAAAAGAAAATTCTATCTTCGAATAATGCATATCGCAATAAAAATGAATATTGACATTTACATAAAAATAAAATAAATTAATAAAAACGCATTGAATCATTAACATAAAAATATTTAATTAATAAAATAAAATAGATTTATTTTAAGTCCCATTTCGTTCGAATGTCGTATCGGATTGCACCACTTCGATCAAGTGATACTTTCCACGCCTGTTCTACAAATACATATTCTTGAAAATATTCAGATAATATTAATAAATAGATAACAAATAAACACCGAAAACAAATACAATTTGAAATCTACGAAATAAAAATATTCACAATACACATAACTAATAACATCTATTTAAAATAAAAAATATAAATAAATATACATGTAGGATTAGAGCAAATTAAAATATTATAAATCAAAATACAAATAATAAAAATTATAAATAATCATATTCGATTTAAAGAACCAAAATAGCAAAAACAAAAACTTAAAGGATTAAAATATCAAAAACATAAATTTAAAGGACTAAAATAGGAAAAATAGAAATTCGGAGGCTGAATCACAAATAAAAATAAACCAGATTCCCAAGATCAAAAATATTAAATAATACATGTACTAGAAGTGAAAATAACTCATAAATAATATAAATGACTGAAATGAACTAAACAAAAACATAAAAGACCAAACAATAATTAAACCAAATGCCAAACAGTGACTAAAATAAAATATTTACAAATTTCATGGCCAAATTCGAACATCAAAGAAAATATCATAACACATGAAATCGATGACTAACATGAAATAATTACAAACATTTTGGCCAAAGTCAAACATAAACAACCATGACAAAATAAACAAACTATTGACTTAAATATAAGTACTAAAATAATAATAAAACCACAATAGCAGGTATGATTAAAATTGAAGAAAATAAAATGCCATGACTCTAACAGAAATTTAACCAAAGATAAAATAACAGAAAACATGGGCCTAAAATGAACTAATGAAAACATATACTACTCAAGTATAAATAATATTAAAATACAATGACCTCAACTTAAATATATACATACAAGTAATTAAATTGACTAAATTGCAACATTAAAAAACACAGGCTCAAAATAAAAAGAAATAAAACTTTCATTAATAAGTGGAATAAAATAATACAAACGAGGGAGGATCTAAATTGTAAATACCCCTTTCTTAAAACACGCTGAAACCCTCCCTAATAAACGACGTCGTTTGATTGATGGTATATAAGCATGATCAAAGGACTTATATTCTCACATCTTCTCATTTGCTTTGGCCCCTATTAAAAAAGAGGTAGAGAGAACTCTCTCAAATCTCTTATCGGAGTAGAGAGAGACCGTCACGACAGCGGCGCTCACGACGGTCCTCATGGTGGAGCACGACGGTCAGAGCAATCTCACACACACCAAAAGCTTCCTCTCACCCCTCCACCCGAAAACCAACCCTATTTTGCCTAAAAACTACCCCATCCTCCTAGATCTAGAGATTGTCTTTTGCAAAAGAGAAGGGGTCGATGACTCCTGGGCTTCCGGCTTCAAACTGAGGTAAAACACTCCTTTCTTTTTTCCTTCGGTTCCTCTCTGTTTTTTTTCAGTATGAGTTATTTAGTTTTTCTTTTTAATTCGAGTTCTCCCTTTTTTTTCGTTCTTCCCCTTCTCTTCGAACTGGTTACCCCTTGGTTATCTCTCTTTTCTCATTTTTAATCTGTTGGATGTTTGATGTGTTTTCCTTGGGATTTGATTTGGATTTGATTTTAATTTTTATTGGGATTTTCCGACTTGATGCTGATATTTCTGCCATTTGATGTGGTTGAAGACAACGGCGGAACCAATCGGCGGCAACACTAGAGATTGGCGGCGACGACATCAAATCCATACGGTTAGGGTTTTAAAAACCTTAAGGTGAATCGGGTCGAGTTGGATCCTCTCTTTGGGCCGGTTCATATCAGCTGATATGGTTTTAGTTGGGCTTGGGGCTTCATTCGGGTCTTGGTTGTAACTGGGCTTATGGGTGGGCTTGCTTGTAATGGGCATGCAATGTAAATTAAAATTTAATAATAATAATAATAATATAGTAGAATATAATATAAAAATAATATTTTTGTAGACCCAGATAAAATGGTGTATACAATACTAGAGAAAAAGGATGAGGAATTATAAGAATCACCATTTCAATTTGCAGTTGATGGTTGTTTCAGAAAGATAGCATAGCAAGTTGCAGTATAGCCTGCCTTATCTCTAATAATGCTTATGTGATATATATGTGAATGTCAGAAGTGCCAATCATTCAAACCATTTCATCCCCCTTGTGGATCAATCATGGAGGTCGCCAATCAATTCCGACCGGATTTTATGTCTGCATGAGCAAATGCAAACCCCACTTGCTCTTTTTGTTTACGAAATATTAATCCGCATCTTTAAGTATTGATTCAAGTTGAGTTATATTATTTTAGCGAATACCAAGTGTTTAATGGAAGAAAAATGACACTTGAGAGAGAAATGTTGGCAATTTCAAGGAAGCCAAA